GTTTGCTCCCTTATATATCCACAGATTAGCTTTGATCTGAGTGTGGATGTCAGGAATGGACTCACCACTGGTGGTGGGACTCACCTGCCGTGTGGGCTGCAGTACCAGGGCTGGCCAGCGGGTGCTCTCAGCAGCCAGAAGCTCACTCCTGCAATCAAGTCATCACCTGAGGCTGATTGCAGGAGGTGTATTTAAGGAGTGGCCAGGCCTGCAGTCAGTGCCTTGGTGTATAGTTTCCCTTGGCCCCTGTATCCTGATCCTGCCTGCTTGAATCCTGACTCTGCACGAACTCTGCCTGTACCGACCTCGGCTTTTCCTGACTACTCTTCTGCCTGCTCCTTGTACCTTGCCTGCCCATTTGCTACTGACCCGGCCTGCCCGACTACGTTTAGTATTGCTCTTATTGTTATCTGTTGGAGGTTTGGTTTGTTTGCACTGTGTTTATGTTTAGTCTTGCACTGCATTTATGTATTGTTTAGTCTTTAATAAATTGTATTGTTTATACTATACCTGAAGCCTGCGTTTCCCTGTGTCAGTCCACACATCTCTGGTCATACCTGGAGCCCTGACAGTGGAGTTGTCGCTATCATACTCGTTCTTTCTGGACTTACTGACTTGAACAAAGACAATTCTACTCTTTTGTTTTTTTATACGTTCTTTTATTCTTACCCGTCGTTTTGTGAAATCCCCATCCAGTGCCATTATGGATATTTTTTTTACTAATAAAATGAAGTGGACTTTCAAATACACCTGTAGTGCTTCCTGTGTACTGTATATTTTATTGACATTCAGAGGACCTATCCAGGCCCTTTGGTCTTTAAAGTTTTCAGACTTCCTTGTTTGAGTTTACAAAGACTCTAAGGCCCCATGTTCACGAGACACTTCTGAACGATAGAAACTGACTGCTGGAAAACGTAGCTTAAAAAACATCTGTTTAGCCGCGTTTGCATAACGCGTTTATACGCGTTTGCGTTTATACGCGTTTTTTAAAGATAAGCACAGGAGAACCTCCCAAATGCCCAGAATGCACTGAAAAGTGGTAAATTATTAACTATTTCAGAGAAATACAGAGAGTAGAAGCAGAGACAGCAGTAGGTGTTGAGATTAGCTCAGGTGTGAGTTGCTCATTAACATTTCTTTTGTTTCCAAGGGTGGAAAAGGTGTCTGGTGGAGAGAGTCATTAAGGCCACCTGGCAGGGGGTCTTCATGAGGAATTTGAGGTGTGAATGCTCATTAACACATATCTTTTGTTTCCAAGGGTGGGAAAGGTGTCTGGTGGAGGGAGTCATTAAGGCCCCCTGGCAGGGGGTCTTCAAGAGGAATTTGAGGTGTGAATGGTCATTAACATATCTTTTGTTTCCAAGGGGGGGAAAGGTGTCTGGTGGAGGGAGTCATTAAGGCCACCTGGCAGGGGGTCTTCATGAGGAATTTGAGGTGTGAATGGTCATTAACATATCTTTTGTTTCCAAGGGTGGGAGAGGTCTGAGGTGTGAATCGGTCATTACAATGTGTGACAAGCTTGATAGGAACATCCTGTGTTCAGTGTTTTGTCCATTTGAGTACCTTGAAAACGCTTTATATGCATTTTTCATGATGAAAAAAGGCTCAGGACAGCATCGGGAACTGGAAGAGTTAAAAAAAAAATTTCAAACACAAACGCTTATAAATGCGATTTTCCGCGTTTAGCCGCAATTACAAGCGTTTTGCGTTTGAAACGCTGATAAAATCAACTGCTGAACGCAAGTTTTCTGCATTCAAAAAAACGACTGTAAATTCAAATGCCTGTGAATGACTGTAAACGAAGATGTGTACATGGACAAATAGGAAAACATTAAGGTGAGTTCAGGGGCTGCTGAAAAAAATGCTGAACAGCTCCTGAATGTGAGTTTATCAGCTGCAGTGTACATGAACCCTAAATCTGCCTGGCATCTAAGATTTCTTCATCCATCATTACTACAAGAAGACATCGTGCCATGTAAGAGCCTGGTGACACTGACCTGAGGTCTCCGTTGTGCTTACGCATGTGTACGTTCAGGTAATGTTTCCACTTGGTGATGTATCCGCATTCCGTACACATGTAGTTCTTGTCTGCGGAGTGTGTCAGCATGTGTTTTTAGAGAGGTAGCTCAAATCCCGACAAGTGAAGTCACACTGGCTGCATTTGTGGGGCTTCTCTCCTGGCAGATTGGAAACAAAAAAAAAAAATGTTAGATTAGAAATCGTGAATCGATGGATCATAGCTATCATATGAGCACAGATTATAGATAGGGTAAGGTAGAGTTAACACTGTCAGTTTATTTTTGCCATCTGTTTCCCATATGGGGGACTTTCCTTCACTTCCTGTCCCATAACCAAACTAGGAAGTGAGAGGGTATCTCTCCAAAGTGAGGGAAATCCTTGGTTTTCAAATGGGCTGGTGTCCCTCACTGGGAAATGTCCCCTCTATTCCTGTACTGGGGAAAATACAAAATATGTGATTTTTCTTTCATTTTCCGCGGTAACGTGGTATTGTTAAACAGGAAAAATAAAGAGAGTGAATCTCCTTTTCCGGGGTCACAGACACAAATTATAACCTGATGGGTGTTCCAATTCCTCTCCACCCTATGAAAAATTAAAACAAAAGTTTTGCCTTTAATTATACTTTAACCCCTTCGTGCCTAAGGGTGAACCAAATGTTAATGCCTAAGCACAATTTTGCAACTTTGACATGTTCGTAAAACTGTACATATCATCACAACTACTTTTTGCATCCAGGTGGATTATTCCGCGTTTTTTTGAGGACAAATCAGGCTTTAATTTGGTGGTAAATGGTAATGGATATCTCCTGATTTTTATATTTATCAAAGGAAAACTGGCCCAAAACAGAAAAAAATTATTTTTTTAAATTTAGTTGTATATCTCTTGCTGATACCATAACCTATAAACAAAAAACAACCCCCCCCCCCAAAAAAAAAAATCTCTCACTATTGTTGATCCCAACGATACCACATATGTGTATGTTGATTGTCGTTTGTACCCTAGCCGCACCCCACCGCCCTGTAGTAGAAATACTGCTACAGGGCAGCACGGGTGCGCAAAATCACATACATAAACGTGATTTCGCATTTCCGGGTAGGAGGCGTGCATGAGTCGCTTACAGTGAAACACACACCCCTCGCCCCCTAGTAAAACATTCCCTACTCACAGTTAACCCTTTGATTGCCCCTCATGTTAACCCCTTCCTGCCCAGTGCCATTAGTACAGTGTCAGTGCTTTTTTTTTTTAGCACTGATCACTGTATACTGTAGGTGTCACCGGGGATGTCAGTGACACCAAGTCAGTTCCCCCCCCCGTGTCAGAATGTCGCCGCAGTCCCGCAATAAGTCGCTGATCGCCATCATTACTAGTAAAAAAAAAACGTTCACGTAAACGAATTAATTTACACGTATTGGGATTTTTTCTTAGCAAAGACGTGGAGCAGAATACATTTTGGCATAATTTTATGATGAAATTTGATTTTAAAATTTTTGGACTGGACTTGTTTAATAGCAAAAAGTCAAAAATAGTTTTTTCTCAAAATTGTCGGTCTTGTTTTTATAGCGCGAAAAAGAAAAAAAACCGCACAGGCGATCAAATACCACCGAAAGAAAGCTCAATTCCTGGGAAAAAAAAAGGACATAAATTTAATTTCGGTGCAGCGTTGTACGACAGCGCAATTGTCAGTTAAAGTAATGCAAAAAATGGCCTGGTCAGGAAGGGGGGGGAAGTGGCTAGTACAGCCCAGAAACTATAGTGCACATTTTTCTTTCTTTTCTTTTATCCTACCTAAAACACACTGACACTGATACTAATAGACTTTTTTTTTTCTTTTAAATCCTGCCTAAAAAAATACTGACCCTGACCTTGACCCAAACACTAACCCTGGCACTGACCTAGATCAAACCTTGATCTATTTTTTTTTTTTAATACATTCAGAGAGGGAAAACATGGGGGCGGGCTTCGCAGTGACTGATCACTGTGATAACCAATCAGAAGCCATCACATCGATCAGGTGACTTGGCGCACTCTCAACACAAAGATAGATACGCAAATATGCGCCCCCCCCCTCCACGGAAAAAAGCCCAGTCCAGTGGGGCGGCATATTTGCGTGCGCTCGGCGCCAAGGGGTTAATGGATTATTAATTTTAATTTTGTTCTAAGCTAGAGTTCTGTTTTATATTTAACATAACTTCTAAATCTAAACCTTTTGGTCATAGCAATGCACTCAATTCTGCACTACTGTGAATCAGATTCAGCCGACAGTGGGTTAAAACCTGCTCAGCTGACGTCACAAAGCCATTCCAGCCAATGTCCTGCAGACAATATTGTCAGGATCCACCCCGATGCCTGACCAGCAGCTGGCTCGTCCTCTCATCACACTGCTGAGAACCTGAGCTAGCCGCTCCCGCCCGTCCACAGCCCGGAGCGCCACTGAGCACTGGAGGAGCATAGCACAGAGCGGTGATTGACAGTCTGTGCTCAGAGAACTAAGCAATCTTTGGTCTTTGATCGCTCAGTTCTCGGTGTAGAACCTGCAAAGGACAGCTGCAACCATCTAGGCAAGTATAAATGTTTTTTTTTTTTTTTAATCCTGCACTTCTCTTTTAAAAATAATCCTGATGCAGCTTAAACATTTTGTAGGTCATCCGCTGCTGTAGAGTTCCTGGGATCCCAGGCCCGGTGTGTATAGGGGGCGATTACTTCTGGTTGGGTTAAGGCTACGCCCTTCCCTCTGTAACTCTGTGGTGAATGTCAGAGCCTTTTCAGGCCATGGTAGATCTGGGATTTAATTTCTGAATGGCAGGGGACAGGACTTTATCTCAACATGGCCATTACGAGTACAGCCTGGGGGCTAGGCCTTAAGGGGCTTTACAGGGATCAGTTTGATAACCACTACAAGCACCACAAGGTCTCAACACTATTAATAAGTTCACTTCCCTAACAGTATATATGTATGCCTTAGGAGAAATATATTATAATACAGGGCTTGAAACTTCCACTCGCCTGCTCGCCAATGGCGAGTGGAAATTATGGTGGGGGTGAGTGTGTCCCCCAGGGCCATCTTGCTGAGCAGGCTTGGAGCTCAGGCCGGATCGGGAGCCATCAGACTGCTCAATATCTGAGCGCAGTGAAAGCAAAGCAAGGAGTGTGTGCTGTGCTCTCGGCCTCCCCCTAGAGTGCAGTACCCGGCTCTGTGAGTGAACAACGAAGTACTGCAACTTTTTATGGGGGGGGGGGGGGGGTGTGTACGTGTACATGCGTGTGTGTTTGTGTGTGTGTCTGTGTATGCATGTACAATTGTACATGTGTCTGTGTGTATGTAGTAATGTACAGCGCTGAGCGAACTATTGGCGCTTTATAAATACTGTATAATAATAATAATGTACATGTGTGTATCTGTACATGTGTGTGTACATGTGTCTGTGTGCATGTACATGTGTCTGTGTATGTATGTACATTGGTGTCTGTGTATGTACGTGTCTGTGCGTATGTATTTCTGTGTATGTACATGTATCTGTGCGTATGCGTGTCTTCTGTGTGTGTGTACATGTGTATGTATGTGTGTGTGTATGCGTCTCTGTACATGCCTGTGTGTGTATACATGTCTCTGTGTGTACAGGTGTGTCTGTACATGTGTGTACGTGTCTCTGTGTGTGTGTGTGTGTGTGTACATGTCTCTGTGTGTGTACAGGTGTCTCTGTACGTGTGTGTACGTGTCTCTGTGTGTGTATGTGTGTGTGTACATGTCTCTGTGTGTGTACAGGTGTCTCCATCTGTGTGTATTTGTTGGTGGCGAGTAAATCGAAGGCCTGGCTAGTAGCTCATGACTTGAAATTTGAAGCCCTGTTCTAATATATCCATTGTACCAGACTACACAATAATCCTATGCATCGTTACCTGTGTGTAATAACTTGTGCCGTATCAGAACCCTCTTGTGCGCGGTTGCAAAATCACACTCCCCACAGCGGTGGATCTTCTCATTGGCATGCATCTTGCCCACGTGGTCATGTACTCCACTGGGTTAAAGCTCTTATAAGGACAGAAACGACATACCAGTTCTTCTTTGCCCGGGTGCCCGCGTTTTTTGTGCTTGCGGAAGATGTGTTTGTTGGAGCAGACAAAGTCGCACTCTTGGCAGTGAAAGGCGTAATGGTTCTTACGGTGCTCCTCCATCTCCTCGCGGGACTTGAAAAGCATGGAGCAGGCATGGTACCTGCATTCCACAGCCTGGATACCGTGAGACTCCTTCATGTGCCGCAGGTACTCTTTGCGGTCGGACGAAGCCTGATCGCATCCAGGATCAAAGCAAAAAAGCAACGTCTGCTCAGCTTTGTGTCCCTTCATGTGATCCTTCAGAGCCTGGCTCAGTTTAAACGTCTCCTGGCACACAGGGCAGGAGTAGGTGTCTGTATAAAAGTTAGATACCCCCTCATGAATGCTGGCCATGTGACGATTAAGGGCGTTCTTTTCCACAGAGCTGTAGTCACACAATGGGCAGCGATGGGCCTTTTCACCCGCCTCTCTCATCATGTGGATCTTTAGCTTACTTCGGCTGGTGAAAAATTTTCGACAGTTCGGGCACTGCAGGTTGGGGTCAGGGAAGTGCAGGTGGAGGTGGTCAGCCAAGTGAGTCCTTTTCTTAAAGCAGCGTTTACATTCGGGGCACATGTGGGTCTTAAACAGGTGCTCTTCACCATTCTCTACATCTCCTAAAGGTTGAGAAAGTGTCAAAAAAAAAAAAAAAAAACACATCAGAGGAAGTTCAAAATCAAAATTTTGGCCCAAGTTTTTAGGGTTCATTTACAACTCTGCGACATGTTTAATTGTAATGCCTATGAAATGTGTTGGCCTTGGACCCTTTGTTTCATGGGTAATTTTTACAATAAAGCATTGTTGCCTAAATGCCAGGACCATGAGAAATGACTGATGTCATTTCTCTAGACTAAAGGAACAGAGTCACAAAATATTCTGCTTAGAGTAAGATAAGAACTTGTTTGTGGGATTGAACATGTTTATGACATCTAATAATGTCACATTTGAAGATAAAAACACGTTTAAAGATGTCTACTTGCTTGAGAAGTTAGAAAGCTTTACTTTTAGGGTAGATGAGAAGACGTTTAGGGTAGATAAGGAGCTGATCTAAAGCAAAAGTGTGACTTTTCAGATAACGATGTTAATTCAATATGGTGGCTGGGCGTGACTCTGTTATCCTCACAGAACCTTTCTGCTAGCTTCTCTTAAGAGTGGGTGTGGCGCCCGACCACTTTGGGAAAGCTTCCAGGAAAATGGTTTAAAAGCTGGGAGTCTGAACGGGACCGATTTGGAGCCTACTATACTCTTGCGAAGGCTATATGGGCTCATTGATTGGTCGCGTTTATATATATATATATATACACATCTCCTAGATCCTGTGTAAGCTCCAAAGAGCAGGACCCTTGAATCCCTCGTGTTTTGTTTTGTTACTGTATTGTCTCATGTTCTGTCCCCCACTATAATGTACAGCGCTGAGGAAACCTTTTAGCGCTATATAAATACTGTATAATAATAATATATATATATATATATATATATACATATACACACACACACTTCATGTTGAAATGCTTTTTATATATTACAAAATATATGAAAAATATTTTGAAAAATATATTTTTTAAAAATATATTCTTCCGACTTTTAATATATAAAAAAGTAATTTTAACATATATTTTTATATGTGTGTGTATATATATATATATACACACAAACACTTCATGTTGAAATGCTTTTTATATATTACAAAATATATGAAAAATATTTAAAAAAATATTTTTTTAAAAATATATTCTTCAGATTTTTAATATATAAAAAAGTAATTTTGACATATATTTTTACATATATTTGTAGATGCATTCCAAAAATGTAGATTAAATGTATTTTTAAACACATACAGTATATTTGAAAAGGTATATATATATATGTGTATATGTATATATATATATATATATATATATATATATATATATATTTACATATTTTATATTTTTTTTTTACATAAATATATTTTTAAATTTATTGAATACGGCCAAAATTGTAGTATTTCAAATATACGTCAATATATTTGGGAAGAATATTTTAAAAATATATTTCAAATATATGTTTCTTCCATGTGGGTAATGAAAACTTTTGCATAATTCCTCCAAGAGCTAGCCCACTGCTTTCATCAGGACTGGGAGCTCTTGAGAGGAGTACTGAGGCAGGATGCTGCACATAGATTTCTGCAGAAAATCCCAGAACCCCTGCATTACATACAGAGGGACAGATACCTATGATGACATCACTGGGTCTTAATAAGGTATATATAAGATATAGTGACAATAAACAGATTAATTTTCAAGAAATGATGTGATAACTCTCAGGAAAAGTGTTTACATTGTCATACTCCCCTGCTGCTGTGACAGAGGTACCTGTGAAAGCTGTTTCTTTGTCAGTATGGGAGCTCCGTGTTCTTGTTATCTTTTTGATGACAGAATCACATTCATTTTCCTCCTCACTGTTACTCCCGGAATCTGCCTCTGCAACTTTTCCACGCTTCTTGCGTTTGATTGCCAGTGTGAAACCAACATCAGCTCCTTTATCTGAAAAACATTATTTGATTAAATACAATATCTTAATTACAAGTAGAGATGAGCCCGGGCATCCTTTAAACTCCCCATGCCACAACACAGCTAAACAAAGAGGAAGGACACTGGAAACGTTAGTGCCTTTACATGGATGGAGGCCCCCTGATGACGTCACTGATGACGAAACGCGCAGGGTGGAGCCAGAACGCGTGACGTCAGCACGTACCGAAACGTGGCAGCCATCTTTATGGTTTGAAACATACCATCCATTTCTATGGTGACATGCTGTTTTTATTACATTTCAACGTATATTTTATACTACGCTTTGAGGCAATAAATCTTTCTGGAAATACTACACTATAAAGCTTTTTTCTGCTTTTGGAATGGAATTGTCCTCTATGAGGATAATTCATTTTTTACAGGTTCATTTTCCAATCCAATTTCTGAAGTTCAAGTTTGGGGTGATATCAGTGTCTTGAACAATGCTTGTCTTTGGAATCAGCTTTACGGGTTTTTCTCCTTTCACAACTGGGGTCCAGTTTTGTTCCTTCGGAGTCAATAAATATCCAGGTCCACACCACTCTTTTTGGAATTCGCATTGCGCATTTTGACCCGTCCATATTTGGGGGTCATTTTTGTCTGGTAAGAGGTAGAATTTTTTGGGTGTTGGTGACGGTGGATCCCTTATATCTCCTTGACCAGATTGACGTATTTATGACATTATTGATGTCCCTATGAAGTGGGGCTTATTTCATCCTCCTCATATATTAATTGGACTTTGATTCCATTTGTTAGTTATTTTAAGTGCCGCACTCCTGTTATTTACATGGACACATATATTAGTCAATGCCATTGGCTAAATGTGGGCATGTTTCCCACAGAATGGCACTGACATCACTAGAATCCTGCCCCCCTTTGTTTACATGTGCTGTGGGGTGGGGGAAGGACAAGGACCACAGCTATTTGGAGTGAAAAAAAAAATGCAACTCGGAAGTTTGGATTGAAAGGAGTTCACAGGATGCCCAAGCTGAATCATGTTCCTGTGTGATTTCTGAGCGTTTCTGTACAGTGCGATTTTGCAGCCCATTCATCTGAATGGACTGCGAATTCCACCGGAACGCAGTAAAAGTAGCGCATGTGCTAACTTTCAAAAACGTGCTGCACCAAATCACATGGTACTGTGGCACCATGTGACTTTGTGCCAGCAAATGTACTGCACTGGCAATATGCATTTGGGGTGCCATTAACAATGTACTGGCACCTGCCGCATATCACAAAAGCAGTGCGTTTTGAGCGCAGTGTGGGAAACGTGCACAGTGTGCGCCTTTCCTGCACAGCATTCTGGTGTGAACTGGCCCTAAAGCTGAACTTCAGGATAAGCCAATCTTGTGCATTGTTCCTTGAATCTTGGTGTATATTTCTTTGGGATCTGTGCAGTAATCCAGTGTGAGACTTTCCTTCCTGCAATAAAGACCGCTCACTGCTGCTCTCTTTCCTTGCACAGGGTGACTGGTCTTGTCTCCGCCCCTTCCTGTAGTTTTCTGCTGGCAGCCTGTATTGGGTGGGGCCTGCTGGGTCCTTCCCACAGCTCTGATCAGTGATGTCAACACTACATTTACAAGGTAATTTCTGAGTTTGTAAAGGCATTTGGTGCACACGTTAGTTTACATCATTTGTTGCTATTGAAGACTATATATACATGAACGTTTCTTGCCCAGAGTTCAGCTTTAAGTGTATGAATAGCAAAAACTTTGCTTCTTTTTTTTGAGTAGGGAAGGCTTATAGACTCTTCTTTATATTAGTTTATTTAACAATTTAGTTGCTTTGCTAGTTGAAGCAAAAGGAATTCCCCTCTTAGACGGTGTTTCACCGAAACAGGTCTCCACAGTAGAAAATTTTATCCTCTGATCCTGGGCTTAGGTGACAACCAGGGGCGGACTGACAACTCATGGGGCCCCCGGGCAATAGGGGATCATGGGGCCCCTGTGTCCTTGGCCAAACTCAAAAAAGCCTATGAAAAAGGTACCAGGGGCATCTCATGGGGCCCCCTACTGACCCCGAGCCCTCGGGCAGTGCCTGAGTTTCCAAATGGTCAGTCCGCCCCTGGTGACAACTCTAAAATTTAAGATTTTCTTTCACTTTCTGTCTCGGTGTCATTGAGCACCAGGACAAACCGAGAGAGTGTCTCCCCAGCAGGTACTCGGACTCAATGTCCATTGTACTCATTGTCAGGTCTCCACATTAGAAAATTTTACCCTCCGATCCTGTGCTTTGGTGTCAACTCTAAAATTTTAGATTTTCTTTCACTTTCTGTCTCGGTGTCAATGAGCACCAGGACAATGAATACAATGGACAATGAGTCCGAGCTACACTCAGGAATACCCTGAAGCACTGCTCCGGGATCTCTTCTTCACTTACCTTGTCCTGCGCTCCCGCGATATCCCCCCTGCAGCGTCCCCGCCAATGTCCTCCGGCCGACGCCTTCCAGGTTCCGTTCCCTGCGACGTCGGGACGTACGGGGGACGGAATTGGCGGGAAATTTAAAAATGTCAAAAAGTGACATTCACTAAATACACTAAAATCACATAGTATCACATTCCTGTTTCAACCCATTTCACATACATTTTGTCCCGAGTGCTTTGTCCGGCGCTCTGCCTGCATTTTGTCTGTTCTTTCTGCCTGGAAACTGAGAAACGTCCATGGCGTCCAAAAAGCGTCCCTTTAGGTCAAAAGCAGTTTTAGACCGGCTAGAGAACAGCGATAGTAAATTAGAACCACTTGCACAATTGAGTGATAATGATTCGTGGGGGAAATTCATCATCAGACACTGAAAACGATTCTGCAACTTTGCTCAGTGATGTGCGAACTTGGCGATATATTTCACATTTGATCATATTATTGAATTAAATTATTATTAAATTATTATTTTTTATGATTATTTATCAAAATATAATTTATGATTTTCTGTTTCAAATTTTATCCTACCCGGGATGTTTACTAGACTCTTGTTCGGACAGATTTCAGTGAGTTATTCCTAAAAATTACAGACCTACAATAAAAAAACTACATATTTCCATGCAAAAAAATGTACCGCTTTGAGCACAGAGATACTGACATAATCAGACCGCTAGGGAGGCTACAGACCCAGGGACATTAGCCAAGTTTCCGTTTGAGATTGTTGGATCTCACGGAGAGTCTTTAGAGGTGGGTCCTCAAAGGAAATTCAGAGGTTATCCTGAAGTTCAATGATACACCCACCCAGGGGCGGACTGACCATTCGAGCACTCGGGCAATGCCCGAGGGCCCAGGGTCAGTAGGGGTCCCATGAGATGCCCCTGGTACCTTTTTTATAGGCTTTTTTTTTAGGGCAAGGACACAGGGGTCCCATGATCCACTATTGCCTGGGGGCCCCATGAGTTGTCAGTCCGCCCCTGCACCCACCATGTGTCCCAAGGTTCCAAGACAAGCCAAAATTTCTCACCGGCTTACGAGATCCCTACGGCACATACAACCCCTGCTACAAATCGAATCCTGCTGTCACACGGCACACTTACTACACTGCAGAGAACCGTCACTCAGCATGTCTACTGCTGGCCGAGCTGTAGAAGCTTTGGTTGGGGCTGGCTGTATGCAGTCAAAATTTGGAAACGACTGTCCGTCTCTGCAATGGCTCTTCTGATGCTGGGAGAACAGCTTTGTATTGGAGCTGACAAAGTCACAGTGAACACAGTGAAAAGGAAAATGGTTTCGAAAGTGTCGGGTCATCTCCTCCCGGCTCGGGAAAAGCAGGCGGCAGCTGCGATGAGAACAAGTCACTGGAGTCACTTTATGTTCCCTCCTCAGATGAGACTGGAGCCTTTTGATGTCCTGAGCGGTGAACGTGCAGCCTCTTTGCCAGCAGCTGAAGTCCTGGGGTGCTGGGGGGTGACTTTTAAAATGTTCTTTTAGTTCACTGGGTGACCTGAATTGATTTTGACAAATGGGACATGAAAAGCTGTCCTTCTTGCCTTGACAGGAGTCATCTTCAAGCCTGATGGATATTTGGTCAGATAGGATCATGTCTGAACTGCATGGATTATTGCTGGGAAGTTCCGGCATACCCGAGACTGCAAGCTGACAGAAGTCCTGAGACAATAGGGTGGCTTCAGCCAAGATGCCAACAGATTTGCCTAGATAGAGAGACAGACAGTCAATAAATCATGCACTGATCCTGCTCCGGAATTCTCTTGCATGATTGTACGCCCCTTGAGGGTTAGGGACTGATGTGAATGTACAATATATATGTAAAGTCATTTCAGCCATCCACGTAAACCAGATCAGCATGATGTTAATAATCTTATCAACATGTATTCAGGTGGACCTTCAATCCGACTCTCAGGTGGCTCCACTCTGCCATACTGGCGCCTTCGCAAATGTGCAATAGGACTTCCCGTCTTGGCAGAGCCCATTGGCACATCTGCGCATAGCATGCGATGTCTTGTTTCTAAAATATCAGTGCAGCGCTAAAAAATGCATGTCATAAATTCCATAAACGCATGTGACCAGGGTGGATAAAAATCAGTGATTTTTTTTTTTTAAAAAATCAAAAAAAATCTGATTTTTTTAATTTAAATCGGATTTTTTTAATTTAAAATCGGATTTTTTAAAATAAAATGCTTTTTTGAGGAAAATATATTACCATCCAAAGGTTATTCCATCATGAAATAAAGATTAGTTTTTTAATTATGTAGAATAAGGCTGTATATGTTTAATTTTTTTGGTAAATAAATTCCATGAATCCATTCACAATGTCATGCTCTTCCAGAGGTTTTTGTAAGATTATTGGGCAGTTTCTCTGCCTACAAGATATTATCACAGATGATTGGTTTACTTTTTCAGTTCTCAAAACTGAATTTGACTCAGCGGAGATCACATGCCTCTTCTTCACAGCAAAAATGTTATAACATGAACAGAGTTAAGAAAAAGACCTTCATCCTAACTTCTACAAACCTATGAATACAGAATCAACCCCTTCACTGCTAAGTTTCAAGAAGTTCAGTGAATAGAATAGAAACAATATTTTTCTGATTGTTTGGAGTGGAATAGATCTGCACAAGAAGAAAGTGAAACTAAGTGTGAGGAGGAAGGGGCTGACAGTCTAAGTTTCTTAAAATATATATATTTTGTTTAGCCAAATTAGTTAACAAACATCGATGTTTAAGCCAATCACATATGCTGGAATGTTATTGTTTCAGTTGAATAAATCTATTTAAATTGTTATTATTAAGGTAATGATTATTTTTCTACTTCCTAAGTACAACAGAAAAGTTGTCCAAATATGAATGATTAACCTATTAAACTGGGGATAAAAAAACTAATATGAAAAGTTGTTATTCTAAAAATCTTCATCTACTTGTATATTAAAGTTATACCAGCAAGAATTAGTCTTTATGTAGAAAACTAGGATTTACATCAAGCCTTACTGACTAGTGATTTAAATCGGGATTTAAATCAGTTTGATTTAAATCAAATCCACCCTGCATGTGACTTAAACGCATATGCGAGTAAAATGCTGAAAGTGCAATATCAATATAACTAGTTCAAGATGACATAAAATGCAATAAAAGAAGTTCATCAGACCATTCGTGAATTTATAACGTCTCTTGCGCAAAGATATCAGCTGAAGAAATGCCTATGATTGGCGCATGAAGTTATTCATGAAGAGGAACTGTGCAAAAACTTGTAAAAGGAAATCCACCCATGGTATGGATGTACACTCACCAGACCATAAATTATAATACGCATTGATTATAATACATCGCACATCTGGGGGTGCAGTGGTATGTTGACAGCTACACCCTGAGGATGTATTGTTACACGAAACGCGTTGGGTGGAGCCCTATTGCTGACCTCTAACCACTGCTACTGATCAGCAGTGGCCATTTTGATACTTTATTCATTTATGGGCAGCACAGTGGCTAAATGGTTAGCACTTCTGCCTGGCAGTACTCGGGTCATTGGTTCGAATCCCAACCACGGTACCTCCTGCCTGGAGTTTGCATGTTCTCCCTGTGCTTGCGTGGGTTTCCTCTGGGTACTCCAGTTTCCTCCCACACTCCAAAGACATGCTGGTAGGTTAATTGGCTCCTGTCTAAATTGGCCCTAGTATGTATATGTATGAATGTAGGTTAGGGACCTTAGATTGTACACCCCTTGAGGGTTAGGGACTGATGTGAATGTACAATATATATGTAAAGCGCTGTGTAAATTGACAGCACTATATAAGTACCTGAAATAACTAATAATAAATAAACAAACATTTATATATTCATTTATTACTCCACGTGGATACGTTTTTATGTTACTTGCTATTATTACCATAAATAAAATACTACACTATAAGCACCTTTCTGGCTCCTTTGGCTGAGCTAGTTCCCCCCAGGACCACCAGGCACCCACCCTGACGGATGAACGGATGACCCCGTAACTGTCAGCATACCGCTGCACCGCCAGATGTGCGATGTATTGTAATCAATGCGTATTATAATTTATGGTCTGGTGAGTGTACATCCGTACCAAGGGGGGATTTCCTTTTACAAGTTATTGCACTTTCAGCACTTTACTCACATATGCGTTTAAGTCGCATGCGTTTATGGAATTTATGACATGTATTTTTTTTTTAGCGCTGCACTAATATTTTAGAAATTGGGATTCTGGGACTGTTACCTATACCCTGAGTGTTAGCTGCTTTTAATTCATTTGGATATATATATAATTTTTATATCATATACTGCATTTAGCGCTCTCTCTATTATCTTTTCTACATACTTTGATCTTTTGTGATTTCTTGTGAATGCGCAAACATAGCAAAGGCTTGGAACTTGCCTAATAGCTGCCTTTGCATGCATAGGAAAGCCTGCACGTGTGCAGATGGTTGGGAAAAGCAGCGTGTGCGCAAAGGTGCCGCAGGGCTTGCTCAGGACCTGAAGCCCTGTTGCACATCTGTGCACATGGAGGGGGCAGGGGAAGGGCAATGTAATCCTCACCTAGGCAAGAAACAAAGAAATGCTGCTTTGCACAGAAAAAAAAAAAAAAAAAAGATATTAGTTAAAAATAAAAAATTGTGTAATGTTTTACTTGTACTGTATATAACGTTTAGAAAACACGCGCACACACACACACACACACTGTTCTCTCACAATGGAAGTTTATGAGTTGGCCAACTCACTAAAAACAACGCACTGCATATGCGGCTTATATAATGTCTCAGCAGTTATTACATCTTCAAACACAAATGCTCCTGCGCTTGGGGATGGACTCGATGCAGGCTACAACCACATAAGGAATGTCCTGGAACATGCACACCTTGCTGCCCTCAAATGGACCGGGGAAATCCAAATATACTGAATGATGAAAGAAAAAACAGAGGGCGCACAGGCCTAGTGCATTACCATAAAAAGTGTTTAATAAAAAATAAAGTAGGTGTTGTACTCACAAACGACAATATAGTCAAGGCACATCATAAAGAACAGCTGGATCAACACCGCGCTGAGTAACAGTCCGCAATAGGGAGTGTAGACATCCAATAGGTTGACGCGTTTCAAGGACTTGCCTCTTCCTCAGAGCCAACTGACCAAATGTCTGCTCCCTCTTTTATATGCTCATTACTAGTTAAACCAAAGCTCACATGGGCCGTCGTGGACACTCCCCTGAGCAGGTGGAGGAGTCATAGGGGCAATTGACATAGTATAAGTAAACACGAAAGGTCTATAAAAATATATAAATATATATGTGTATAAATAAAACCATTGAAACTAGTGATCACCAGGGAAGGATTTTTATTTTAGATATATGTGTAACTTTCCATTTATTTATTTTTCATTTGCACACTTCTTATGGTTCATATGATTTTATGATTGTCACTAGTTTCAATGGTTTTATTTATACATATATATTTATATATTTTTATAGACCTTTCGTGTTTACTTATACTATGTCAATTGCCCCTGTGACTCCTCCACCTGCATAGGGGAGTGTCCAGGATGGCCCATGTGACCTTTGGTTTAACTAGTAGTGAGCATATAAAAGAGGGAGCAGACATTTGGTCAGTTGGCTCTGAGGAAGAGGCAAGTCCTCGAAACGCGTCAGATTATTGGATGTCTACACTCCCTATTGCGGACTGTTACTCAGCGCGGTGTTGACCCAGCTGTTCTTTTATGATGTGCCTCGACTATATTGTCATTTGTGAGTACAACACCTACTTTATTTTTTATTAAACATTTTTTATGGTTATTACATCTTCACCTGGTCTTACCTCTGGGAATGCAGCAGCAGCCGCTTGAATAGACAAGCCACGTGATGTCACTCTCATGCATGCGCCAGGAGTCACGGCCACAGCACAGAGCTCTAAAGCAATGTTTCTCAACCTTTTTTCAGTCAAGGCATCCTTTAAAATTAAGGACACCCCACTCTAAAACAGGGTGCCTCAAGACTGTCCATAATTTTAAAAGGGCACCCCCTTCTAAAATGTGAAAAACTATTCTGATAGTTTTATATAACACCGCAACATCCACACATGTAGGGCATGC